CTTAAACGTTGAAAGTGTGCTCGAGAATAGTGAAAAGGAGAGGCCAGGCAAAGGCCAGCTCAACCAGGCTTTAGCCTGTCGAGGCCAGCTAAAAGCCAGGCTGAACCAGGCTTTAGCCTCGCGAGGCCAGCCAAAGGCTAGGCTGAGGCTGGCGACGCCAGGCCTGGGGCCAAGTCCAATCCGAATTTTGAAGACTTATTTCATCTCCTGGTTTGACTAGGACTTGGCCTACACATTTAGGTCTTTTCCTTCACATATAAATAGACCTAAAAAGTCAATTTGGAGAGAATTTAGACTGATAAGAGGAGACAAATAGTTAAGGGAGATCGATATTGGACAAATTTGAGAGGGGATTCGATCTAAGGAGGCAAGAATACGCTAGGAGCAAGGCAAGAATACGCTAGGAAGTTTTTCACTTCCTTCTTCTTATTCTCATTATTGGTTATGAATTCTAGTATTGTAGTTATGCATCTATTATGAATAGCTAATTTGTTGTCTAGGGTTTTGATGTAACCTATTGGAGGATGATTTTCCTATTACGTTAATATAGATTTACTGTAGTAATTTATCTATTTGTTCAACTACATTTATATTGTGGTTGGTTGAAGAACTCTCAATCGACTGTGCCTATTTAGTGTGTACTCGGGAGAGAGTAAATATTTAGGTAGTTGTTGAACAACATCACTCCTAACGTATATGAGGGATCAATACAGAGGGTTTAAAGGTGAGATTAGGGATAACGAAACCTTGGTGCGATCAGAGTGAGCCATACTTAATGCCAACTAGCGTAATTCGGGAGAATATGTCTAGTAAATTGTGGTAATTACTCGGGAGAGAGTTACGACAGTCAGAGTGCTCATGATCGGTAAAGAAGACTTAGGCAAATTTATAGAAAACGTAGCGGAAAGGATTCCGACTATAGGGAAAATCATAATTCTAGACCTCCTTAATCTTGCCTCCAATCCTTATCCTTATTAATTGATAGTTTTACTGCTTTCTAGTATTTGTTAGTTAATTAGATAAAAATAAACATTATACTCTTTCTAATTAGGAAATTGTTTGGACATGTGTTTCTTAGCGATATTAAACAATTGTAGCTAAGCCTTAGTTCTATGTGGGATTCGACTTCGGACTTGTAAATCGAATTATATTTGCAACGACCGCTTAGTCCTTTTGCATAGTTGGGCGTGATCAAATATATATTTCGTAAATGTTAATTACTCAGGACAAGAAAGAAATGCAATATGGATGATGCATTTCGAGCAGCTGAGAATGAGAGATATGTTCCATCTGTTGATCCTGATGTTGGTACATCTTTGAGAGCTAATAACAATATAAATGCAGAAAATGTGGAAGAGCAAAGTGATCTTGTTTGGATGGATCTTCGCGATTTGATTGCTAATGAATTTGTGAAGCTTGATATTTGTAGTTGTATGAATCTTTTAAAACACTAATAATTATTGTTTTACATTCCAATTGAGAAATGTTATTTTGGTTCGTTCTCTTGAAATAAGCATATAATGACCTAACTTTCAATAGAATTTGAGAAATCGGTGTTCTGGAAATATGATGCATTGATTTTATATTCTGAATCTTTATTAGTTAGAGGAACAAATTATTTTTCTTTCCTCTTCTATACAAGCTAAAAATGAGCGTTCAAGAATTATATTTGTAAAAACTATCTTAAGTAATCATTTAAATTGAAATTAAATTAAAATATAAATTATTTTTTATTTTCATTAATTATGAATCAAATATATTGTAGTAATCAACTCCTTTATAATGTTAACAACTTTAAGGATATTTCTGTCTTTTTAACAGAAAAAAGTACTTACTAAACACTTTAACAATTTTTTACCAAACACTTCAACAACTTTTTTTAAGTTTCAGCACTTTTATCCAAACAGGTAACTGCTTATTTATAAAATAAATTTCAACACTTAAAAGCCTAGTGCTTAAAAGCTACTTTTTTTCCAGTTAATCCAAACGGGCTCATAGAACAATTCTCAGAATTTACAAGGGAAACTTACACAAATGTCCCAAATAGCTCTCAACTTACCAACCTCTAGCCATTAATCATAGACTTATCAAAATTAGCCAACAAAAATTGAAAACCCAAATAATATGGTTCTTTCTATCAAAGAATCACATGCAAAAATCACCTTTCATATTTTAAGCGTGATTAGCAACATTAGATACAAGACGGAAAGGAAATTTCATGGACGGGGTAGCAAATAAGGTGATAAAATACAAAAATCTATACAATATTCCAAAAATCTAAACAAAAAAGGAACTTTTTCAATGGGTATAGTTGAAATTCATTGAAAATATATAAATAAGTCAATATAAAAAAATTTGAGTAAGATTGAAGGTGATTTGGACTGGGTTTGTATCAAAATTCGTAATTAAATGGAGTTCAAAAAAATCTTCTGCAACACATGTATCAAACATATATCACGCATATATCTCACACACATGTATACATGGATATACATGTGATACACAATTGATACAAATATAATACTTATGTGATACACAAATGATACACATATTATTTTTTTTATGTTCAGCTTTTACTTCGAATTTTCAATTCAAACCACCTCAAAACTTCACCAAATCATCCCAAAACTAAGATTCAAACTCCTTAAGTTGTGCCCAATCTATTCTAATAACACCCACTCAAAACAAAGCAAAAATTTGATATTTTTTTGCTACAAATAACTAATTGGCTAATTTGGCTAATATTAGTAATATTTTATCAATTGACCAATTTTTGTAATGAACTACTTATAAATGGACACAGCTGGTAATTTTCCTTTAAAATTTAAAAGGAATTTTTACATTCCTATGCCACATAGGAAACCTTATTACCCTCAATGTTTAATGTTTGACTTAATTACACTTAGTATACCAAATTACCAATTATATACCATAATTAATTAAGGGTATAATTAATTGTACATTATTTACTCCTTAATTAAAGGAATCTGCACGTTTCTCTCTCCTAACCCCTCAGTCCCACCCACGTTTTACCCATACCCACGTTCTTTTTACCATTTTCCATCTTCTAAAACTAAATTCTCCATCTAAATTCACAGAAAATTGAATTTTTTTAAACAGAACAGTATTCACAAACGTGAAGGCGAAATGTGCACTACGAATGTGAAACAAAAGCAACAGAAGCATAGGAACAAAAAGCTTCGCGCAACAACATCATGATATTTCAGATTTGGGTTTTCAAATCAAAATTGCTACAAATCCACCATTGACAGTCATTAAAAAGTTTTGAAGCTTTGAATTCAAATTTGGGTTTTCAAAAATCATTTTTTGTTTTGATTGGGTGTTGTTGTAAATAATTGGGAATATATTTTGGAGTTTATATCTCAATTTTGAGGGGTTTTGGTGAAGATTTAGACTTTGTTTTGGCTGAATTTCAGATTGAAACTCGAAGAAGAAGAAGAAAAAGAAGAAGAAGAAGAAGAAGAAGAAGAAGACATATTGCAGAAATTGTAGATAAATTGTAGTTACAGTTGGATTGATCAGAATTTGAACTAAATACATTTTCGCCGCCGTTGATGGTTTTCGACGAGGAAACTCCTTTGTTCTCTACTTCTCCATTCTCCATTTCTTATTTTTACTTCTGTTTTACTTTTTCTATTTCTAATATGGGTTTCTTCATATCGCACACTTTATACACACATTTGATACAACAAAAATATGAAGTAGTTATAGTTGGATTGATCAGAATTTGAAATAAATAAAAGAAATTTTACATCCTATGCCACATATATTTCAAATTTTATGGAAGTCTGATTTTACGGTAATATCTATAACATTCCTACATTTATCTACAAATAAACTACACATCAGTTTTAGGATGTATAAAGCAATATTATTTTCATAATTATCTACAAAATTACTACATTTATACTACAATTAAACTACAATCTATGTTGAAAAAATGTTGACTACAAAATTTTTCTCTTCATCTACAAATTTTCTACAAATATACTACAAATCAGTTTAAGTATGTATAAAACAATACTATTTGTAAGGGTATCTACATAATTACTACATTTATACTACAATTAAACTACAATCTATGTTGAAATCTACAAATTATCTACAAAAATATCTGCAAACTGGGTACATTGAATTTTAATATCCCAATTCCCATTCAATTGTAGCATAATTGGAATTTTTGACATAATTGCGTTTTTTCAGAAGATTTGTAGAAGTTTTAATCGTTTTTTATTTGTGAAAACAGAAAATAAAGCATCTACAATCAGAATACAAATAATCTACAATTTATCTACAAAATATCTACAATTTCTGCAATATGTCTTCTTCTTCTTCTTCGAGTTTCAATCTGAAATTCAGTCAAAACCAAGTCTAATCTTCACCAAAACCCATCAAAATTGAGATATAAACTCCAAACTATATTCCCAATTATTTTCAACAACACCCAATCCAAATAAATAATGATTTTTGAAAACCCAAATTTGAATTCAAAGCTTTGAAGTTTTATGGCTGTCAATGGTGGATTTGTAGCGATTTTGATTTAATGACGAACTGAGATTTTGATTTGTAGCGATTGTGAGAAAAAAACGGAACAAAATTTAATTATAAATTGAAGATAAATGATTTCTGTGATATGATTTGATCTCCTTTCCGTTTCAAAACTTGAATTTAATGTAGAATCAATCAATCCCAAGATTCTTTCCTGATTTTTCGCGCGTTATTAATGGAAGATTCTGCCCTATTAATTCCTAATAAACGAATGGTACAGAAATTGTAGGAAAAATATGGACTAGGCGGGTAATTTAAATACTATGTACATATTTGATAATAAAGTTTCATATATGGTATATAAAGGAAAAAATTCCAATTTAAAATGAATGAAAAACTAAAAAGTGGAAACAAAATAAGCCCAATCAGAAAACAGCCCAACTTACTTGGCCCAAAAATAGTTGGGCACTAGCGAGGGCATGTGCTAAAGTATTTAAAAGACATTTTATCTTCAACTTAGGGTTTAAGACTCAGTTATCGGCGGCAGCCAACTTCTCCCGGCAGCTGTTCAAATCGGAAAACCGCCAAAATGGTACGTTTTTCTCTTCTTTAGATCATCTCGCCTAGGTTAATTTAGCTTATTACTTGTTTTCTGATAGATCAGTTGTATCTTAGTCCTCATTGCATTTGTTAATTGTATCAGTTTTACATTTGTTACTTGTTTGCGATGTGATTATGCATCAAAGACGATATTCTTTTTTATTCTATATATGTGTTATTCACTCAGTAGTGCATGGTGTTGATCCCAAGTTACACTGGTTAATTTTATAGCTCGTGTATGCTAATAGTGCCGATTAAACTATTTTATGCTTCAATTAGATATTAATTGGGTTTTTAGAATGATAACAGAATTAATGGGTCAGCTTTTTTAATTGTGTTTTGCTGTTGCAAAGTCAAATGCCCTTTATCTTAATTACGGACAGTGCAATTTGTGTAGTAATTAGTACTTATAGTTCAATTTATTTGTTCTATGTATGTAGAATGTGTTATTACCCATGTGTAAAGGATTGCACGTGCTTTGTATAACATGGTGGTTTTAATATAAAGCTGAGGAACAGCTCCCTTCGTTCTTCTAAATTTAATCCATATGTCGTAAACTTTTTGGATTTAGTTTTTGGAAATATAATACTGATATAAACTTGGTCGTTTCTTATTTATGTATAGGCAAGAGGGTTGAAGAAACATTTGAAGAGGCTCAATGCGCCGAAGCATTGGATGCTTGATAAGCTTGGTGGGGCCTTTGTAAGTCAAATATAGTTGCTTAATAGTCTTTTTTTGAATAACACTGGATGGTTTCCTGCTTCTTGACCTTACAATTCTCTTTGTTCTCCTCTACAGGCTCCCAAGCCTTCTTCTGGTCCACATAAATCAAGGGAGTGTTTGCCATTGATTATTATCCTCAGGAACAGACTGAAATATGCTTTGACATACCGTGAGGTCATCTCAATTTTGATGCAACGACAAGTTATGGTTGATGGGAAAGTTAGGACTGATAAGACTTACCCTGCTGGTTTCATGGGTAAGAATACATCCATTAGATAGTTTTTCATTTAAAAACATTTTGGTTTATGGTTTAGTTGTTTTCTGTATTGCTAAATTTTATTCAGTTCCTTATCGAAATAATAATGTTGATTCATCTATATGCACTTGCTTTCACAGTTTCAAACACAAATGTTGATCACTTCGTCATCAAGCTTTTCACTTGAAATTCCTTTTGCTTTATGTCTCTTTCGTTTCCTTGTATCGTTTCATTGCAGCGATGTTTGTTGAATCCCTTGTCATATTAATAATGCTGATAATTTCTTTTATATAGATGTTGTTTCCATTCCAAAGACAAATGAGAACTTCCGATTGCTTTATGACACTAAGGGTCGCTTTCGTCTCCACTCACTCAGGGATGAGGAAGCAAAGGTCAGATTTTCATGCTCTTGATTTTGCACCGAGGAATCTGAGTAAATAATCATAAACGTTTAGCATATCCGTACCTGTTTCCTGTTTTTATTGTTTCTTTGGGATGCTGCGTTGTTAGAGTAGTCACATTGTTTTCTGCTCTTTGCAGTTCAAACTTTGTAAGGTTCGATCGGTGCAGTTTGGACAGAAGGGGATTCCATATCTCAACACTTATGATGGAAGAACAATTCGCTACCCAGATCCCCTCATCAAGGCCAATGACACCATTAAGCTGGACTTAGAATCCAATAAAATTGTCGACTTCATCAAATTTGATGTTGGAAATGTGGTCATGGTGACTGGTGGTAGAAACAGGGGACGTGTTGGAGTTATTAAAAACAGGGAGAAGCATAAGGGTAGCTTTGAGACTGTTCACATTCAGGATGCCTTGGGGCACGAGTTTGCTACCCGCTTGGGAAATGTATTCACTCTTGGTAAAGGTACTAAGCCATGGGTATCTCTTCCTAAAGGAAAAGGTATCAAGTTATCTATCATTGAAGAGGCTCGCAAGAGGCTGGCTGCTCAATCAGCTACAGCTGCTTAAAAACTCTTTAGTTGAGCTTAGATAAATTTAGCAGGTTGGACCATGTTTCTCTTTGTTTAGAGATACCAATCTTATGTGCTGTGCTAAATTTAACATCTGTGTACCCGGTACTGTTGCACCTAGCTTTTTTGTTAGGAAAACTGATTTATGATCGATTTGCTTTCTATGAATTTGAACTGGATATGGTCACTACATCCTTCTATAGTTCCATTGGCATCAAGTTTGGTGTCACTTAAATTGTTTGTCCACAAGATACAGGTGCTTGAGTCTACTTAAGTCCTTTTTGTACAGCCCTTTCGGGTATTGGCTGCTCTGCTGCTCAATGCCAAACCGTTGTCGAAATTATCTTGATGAACAATAAATTGTCATCTGGTTGCTTAATAAAAAGTTTGTCATCTGGTTGTTGATATTTTTCTTTTATTGTAAGATAATAAAAGGTATTAAAGAAACTCAACTTTGGCTCGTAATGAAGACCATCCTTATCAAAGTTATTATTTGTGATGAAGGGGAATAGTTTGAGAATGCGACGTGAATAATGTATGTCGATATTTGCCTTTTGTTTGCAATTCTTCTCTGAAAGTAAAAATCACCTAAACGGAGAGAATCTTGAAAAGTTTTATTTTGTAGTGATGGCATGACCATTTTATTTTAGCTATTTCAATGCTTCTCCAAGTGGCCAATTTGCCAATCAAATGAGTACTATTTTGTGAATGAATACAAAGCTCTACTAAAAACATGTTTAGTAGAAAAGTTTAGGAATTTATCCCGCAGGCAATGCATAACTTTTGCATTGAAGGGCAAAGTACAAAAATGCCAATAATATTTTAACACGAGCATTTGGTAGTACTAAAAACATAGTAGTAGAATATATCTAGGCACAAGCCCAGCAATTATGGAAGATACGACGGGACCGTGCATAACTTAAATGAAAGAATCGAACAGAACAGAAAAAAAGATCAATCCCTTGACTGTGGTAGATCGTTGCCTGCATTATACAATAAAATGTGAAAATAGAACAGGATATGTCAGTATCCATTTGAATACTAGTTAATGGGAGAAATCTTGAATTGTTTCTTGACGATTTGGCCATTGACTTGTGATATGATTGAAACTTCCTTGACATTGTGGGCGATTCCATTTGTATGTTTTGCTCAAATGGACTCTTACTTAATACTGTCAAAGACCTCTCAAGTTCCCCATTGTCTCTAAAGATTGGCAAAAATCTTTGCTGTTGGCTTCTGTCATCTACCCCATATAGAGTTTCCTCCAGCTTGTTAAACTTCTTAGTTATTTCACTAGGTCTTCATCTGATTCAATTCTAGAGAGTGTTTGCACCTTCACAAAGTGTTTTGTGCCACTAGCCATCTTCACAAATCCCTTTTCCCTATCAAGGAAAACTCGACAGCAGAAGATGTCTTAGGTGTTGCAGCTCATTGAATCCAGCAGGCAAATTTCCTCACATCCAATGTTTGAACATTTCTCCAATTCAATAGGACTATTAGCCTGTTTGGCCAAGGTTCTCCAAAGCCAAAAGCATTTTTTTTTTCAAAGTTAGAAGTGTTTGGTAAGCTTGTAAAAGAAAAAAAAAAGTACTTTTGAGGAAAAGCAAAAACAGTTTTGGAGAAGCAGATAAAAATAACTTTTCTCCAAAAACACTTTTTTGAAAAGCACTTTTGAGAAAAATATACTTATATCATGTTTGGCCCAACTTTTTTTGGGGGCCAAAAGTGCTTTTTTTTTTTGGCCGAAAGCACTTTTAGCCAAAAATTGAGGTGTTTGGCCAAGCTTTTGGAAGGAAAAAAAGTTTTTTTGAGGAGAAGCAGAAAAAAGTAACTTCTCTAAAAAAACACTTTTCTGAGAAGCACTTTTGAGAAAAATACACTTAGAAGCAGTTTTCAAAAGCTTGGTCAAACACTAGTTACTGCTCAAAAGTGCTTTTTAAATTAATTAGCCAAACACAAACTGTTTTTCAATAAAATCACTTGCTTAAAATGTACTTTTGAAAAAAATACAGTTAGAATCACTTTTTAAGGAAATGAATCATAGTGCTCCTACTACTTCCCCGCTTTTTCGAAACAAGCCATGTGGCGCAGTATTTTTGTTTTTTGTTTTTTTTGAGTAATTCTGGAAATTAACTGTTAAAACACTTTATGAAACGGGAAGACAGAACTAATTTCTTGGAATGCACTATCCGGAAATTACTATAAAAGCAGCTACAACCCTGAACCATAAATACCAATATACACTCCCTTGTTCAACTTGAAACGAATACAAGACATCTGAGTTTATATTAGAATCTGATGCTAATTTCAGGTTAATATACCAATCATAGCTGCATAAATTTTTCACATTTTGTGCTCTGGATACATGCTACTGTACTAGCATTCTCCACTCGTCATTTGCTTTACACAGGATAATCAGAGTTACCCAAAGCTTTCTATCAAAAATCTACTCTTCTGGGGCGAAGTTCACTGAATGCTGTTTTAGCTGTCACAGCAACATCAACGAATAACTGTTTTGCCGTACGTTGGCCTTACTGTCAGATCTTATCAATAATTCAATATATGTTCACCGACTTCATCATAGGACAAGATGCTGCTGGCATCATCAGATTGACGGGGATAAAATTCATTTGCTTATCCTGCAAGCTAGAAATGAATTTTCTATCATTGATAAAACAATCTGGACAGTTTTGCAAAAAAAGTAACACCCACAATATGCAACCGAACTCTAAATCAAACTCCTCATGCTCTTGAGTGGCACATAAGGGCTAAATCAGAAGAGTGGTTTTCTAAACCAGCTCAACCAGAGGCGGAGCTAGGATTTAAAGTGTATGAGTTCTAAATTTAAGAAAGGAACCGTGACTTAAAACTAATATACAATAACAAGCAGACTAAAGAACGAGTACTAAAATTTAATATATATTTTAAAAGTACCAATTACTTTATTTCAATTGCACTCGACCAATTACTTTATTTAAAAAAATAATAGAAGAGGTCAACAATCGATCAAACACAAAAGTTTAATCTGAAAACTTCTAAAGTCACTAATTTTATTAAGGATATTGGTTTCACTGAGAAAGTAAAAAACTAAAAACAAGAAAGTAGGACCACACACCTTGTCGGGAACTCGACTTTTGAAATTTTGGGAAGCACAAAAGTACAAATTAACAAAGAGAATACAGGTCAAAATGTGGGACAACCCTAAAATGAAAGATTAAAAATCAAATTTTTGTATAAATTGTTAACACAAATATGAAATATAAGAGGGAAACAATGACAAAAAAGAACAGAAAAGAAGGAGAAAGAAAGGAGAAATAATATATACAGAAAGAAGAAGGGAAGTTGGACAGACAGTTTCTTTCGATTTTTGATTTGGCGGAACCCTAGCGTGATGTATTTTTTTATTTAGAGGAGCAATTTTTTTTGTTCAATTTGATTTATGTTTTAATTTCTTACAAATAAAACAAGGTACTAAGTCCTAATGGGCTTCTTTGTTACAAGTCTTGATGGGCTTCGTGGTTTTTCTTCTTTAAAAAGAAAAGTTGTAAAAAAGTTAAGTTGCTTCTAGGGAGAATCGAACCTGCGTCCTTCGGCTCCGAACCCAGAACCTTGACTGCTGAACCCAGAGTCATTCTGTTAATGGGTTCGGGAAAAAGTCATTGGGTTCGCCAGAACCCGCACTCACTACTGTAGCTCCGCCCCTGAGCTCAATGAGAAGGTGCTAAAAGAAAAAGGTTGCTTAAAATCACGTTCCGAATTTTCACTTTTCCAATATCACTTTGAAACAGGATGTTTGCACCCCAATCCAATAATATCCAACTAGCTCCAACGTTATAGCTCTTCTGGAATAACCCAGCGCCAAACTCCAGAAGCATAACAAGAACAGAGGGACAGTAAAATGATGAGTATAATGTCTCTTAGTGGAGAGATAAGTCCAGGAACAATAAAGCATCAAAAGGAACTTGAAAGGGAACCCTGGTTATTCCTTTAACCAGACAAATCCAAACAATTGTAACAGGATTCTACAATTAAACAAAAAGATTTTGCGTAATGCCTCATCAAGTTGAAACAAAAGGTTATATGAATGTATATGCAGTAACTGCACATAACATAGATGCATTCACCTAAAGAAGTTTTTGTTAAATGCACCTATGCTTCCACTTTCAAGACGAACAAACTCACCTTAATAGCCTGGCATCCATCAGTCACTCATCCTCATCAAAGTCCATGAGGAAGTCCGTTAAATTCTCAGAATCATCTACAGCTTCTTCCAGAGACATGTCTTTCTTTTTGGGTTTATCCTGCAACGTCATGAAGTGCAGGCTGTTGTGAAGCTCCAAATACAAAATACATTAAGAAGACGAAAATAGGGATGAACTTCTATCAATGTTTGTTATTCATTTCTTCGCAAAATTTCAAAGAGAAAAAAGGTGAAAAGATAAAGACGAGAGAAAGATAAAAACAATAATGTGCTGCTCTATGGCAGTTTATTAGTTTAAATGGAATTCGGATTGCATGATATTCTGAAGCACCTTGTAGAACATAATACTCATTTCCTCTAGTCATATTCTGCCGTGCATTAATACTGAAGATAGAAATGACTATTGACTCATGATGTAGACAAGACAAGTTGAACATGTACTTTAATCCATAGTTAGACACTTCTTTCTTAGCATATTAGTGAGAAACTGCTCGTGCTGAGCACAACCTCAAACTAAGATGTGAGCTTAAAAGAAACTTGCTTGTTGGGGTTTTAAATTTTTTTCTAGACTCAAAATAATCACTCAAAGGCAATAACAGGCACCATCAATGGCCAAGCAATTTTAGAACACCTTACCCTTTAGGGGTTTACTCTTCTACTTAGGGAAAGACATATTAGGAGTATGTTAGAGTGAAAAGGAGATGAAATAGAGCGACTCGAAACAAAGAAAAGTTGGAAATTTGTGCCTATACTAACAAGTGAAACATGACCCAACTTAAAAAATGCACAGCTTTTAAAATTGAAAGAATTTAATCATGACTCCTGGAGAAAAATTGTGGACCTTGAAGCCTAGTTTCTAATGGTTCGAATCATTCGTCATTTGGATACTTCTACAATTTTTTTTTTCTAATCGTTTTCTCCAGAGTTATTCTTCTTCCATTTTGTGGGCAGGTTCTATTTTGGCATTTACCAACCCCATGTAATTGCTCCACGATTCCCTTCAATTTTTTATCCATTCAATACAGCAAGCATCATTTTCTTTTGTCCTAGAGGGAGGTGGGTCTGCAGGAGTGGTTCATCCCGTGGTATAATTTTTTTTCCTTCCAGCATCTCTGAGCACACAAGGAATTCTTTGCGGGAATGATTTGCTATAAACCATGTAGGAGAAGATGTATAGCACGGAAGAATAAAGCAGTTTTTGGTAAGTTACACGTCAAGTAAAAGTGTAAAACCAAATTGGTAACCAAATATATAGCAGTATATAACAAAACCAATCACCCTTTCAATGGTATCGACAAATTGAGCCATATGATCAGAAAGGAAACACAAAAAAAATATAATCACTAGAAAGCAAATTACCTTCGATTTGCGAAGCTCTGGATTACTTTTCAAAACACTCCAATTTCGTGTAATTTTCTCATCTCCCTCTTCAACTTCAGCATCACTTCCTTCTTCTTCGTCCTGAACCACCAAGAGAAGTTACTTAACATAAACTAATAATTAGTATATAATGCAAACATAGCAAAGTAATAAATTCAAAAGTTCAGCATAAAGCAGAACAAAGTTCATGAAAGACCAAACTGAAGCAAAGTAAGGATAAGAATGATCTCACATCATTTTCACCAATGTCAACAGCTCGTGCCATGGCTTCATCAATTTCCGCCACCTGTTACAGAGAAGAAAGTACTTTTACTGTATAGGCTCAAATTAAAGGAGACTGAGACTAATAGAAAGCTATATCTGATTGTTGATGATTGTAAGATTATTTGATGCATATGTAAAGAATGATGAGTGAAGTAGACAACAGCATGCCATAGTCAAATTTGACAATTTTATCCTCAAACTATCTGCATCATATTTATGCTTGGGATCCAGAGTAGTTTTGCTCGTACATCCTAAAAAGTAAATTCTAGAAAAAACCAAAAGATAAACTACTCATTTGAAGCTTTTTACATGTATGCCAATTCATTTGCAGTATTGCAATAAAACAACAAATGCAACTGCAAGGAATAATGCCTTATACGCCAACCTCAGAGATGCAACGAGTCAGTAGAGCACTATAATAAGTTATTACCTCAATTTCTTCTGTCTTCTCTTTGGCCAGAATTTTCTCTAACTCCTCTCTTGATATTATTTTGCCATGCTGATAACAAAATGTTCCCATAAAACCAGAATATAATCAGATGATAGGCTAATAAAACATAAACACTTAAACAGGCATATCAACTCTACACACAGCTAACACCTGTAACCTTTTGTTATTTGAGTTAACATGACAGCTAAAAACGTATGCTACAATTTATCTACACCATATAGGCAGTAACCATCTCCCATCAGCAATCCAAACTAGACTTCTTTTGATTAGGTTCATCCCATTCATAAAGCCCAGTAAAATCAAATCTTCATAAAGTGGAACTATCTGCAAGATTTGGGTTGACTACTTGCACTCCATCCATCTCAATCGACTTACCTTCATTTTTCATCCATCATAATTTACTAGACAATTTCCCTAAATTGAAAATTTTCCTTATCTCCAAAAGTCGAAACAACACATGTAGAAGAGATATTATTCACATTCTACATTAGCTATACGCACCTAATCGTTTGCTCATTAAAAAATTCACAAATTGCATATCCCTCAAGTCTCAAGTAATCAACTAAGCCTTAATAGCAAACTAGCTGGGATCGGCTGTATTAATCCTTTGTATGTTCCCAAGGCATGGCTAAGTGGTTGAGTTATAGAAAAAACAACTTAGAGATCCCAGGTTTGAATCCTAACTACAATACTCAGTGTGAGCTCATCTGCCCTAAAATTGGTGGCTGTAGCAAGCTGCTGGTGAATTAGTCGATGTGCACGCCATCTGGCCCGAAAACCATCGTCATTTGAAAATTTATCTGCTTTCTATCCCACTCTATAAAGATCCATTGCCTTATCTTTTAAGGCAACATAAGGGTTCTCTAATACTAGCCTATATCTCATACTTAGTTCTAAAGGAATTACAAATCTCTAATTAGAATAAGCACAAGACAAGAGGGGTTGCTCTGATGGTAAGCAACCCCCACTTCCAACCGAGAGGTTGTGAGTTCGAGTCTCCCCAAGAGCAAGGTGGGATGTTCTTGGAGGGAAGGATGTCGAGGTCTATTTGGAAACAGTCTCTCTACCCTAGGGTAGGGGTAAGGTCTGTGTACACACTACCCTCCCCAGACCCCACTAAGTGGGATTATACTGGGTTGTTGTTGTTGTTGTTGTTGTTGTTGTTGTTGTAATTAGAATAAGCACCAGATCTTATGTAAGTGGCTCTACAACAACTAATCCTTAATAGCAGCAAGGTAGTATGGCCTACATGGATCCTTTGCTTCTAGCGCAACAACATCTAATCCTTAATATCAACAAGCTAGTATGGCCTACATGGATTCTTTGCTTCCATTGTATTCGTGCCAAATCCATATTGATTCTGATCGGTTTAGGCCTCTTGAAAGAATTTCTCCATGTAATTTTAGGTCTATTTTATCCAGTTTTAACACCTTCACCACCGACCAGTGCATCATCTGGAGGTCTATGCAAAAGTCAAACCATCTCATACAACAATATCTCATTTTATCTCTTATAAGAGTGCTACTTGCAACCTCTGTCAGATGTAACCATAAAACTGCACATCCATTTTACTACATTCATCTAGTGGATGACCTGCCTTGTGTTGTATCTGTATTTACTAATCACTAGGAAGTTAGCAGTAACTAATTTGGATAACCATCAGCACCAACTGGAAATAGCAGCTTATATCTTTTTAGCTATTTGAGAGATTGAGCATCAGTATCTTTACAAAGTAAAGAATACAACATCGAGTGAAGGCAAGAGCATGAACAACAAGAGTATCTTCACTTCCATTTGCTTAAACATGAAACCCATCATTATGTTTTAATTCTATAGCTTTTGATGATAAATGCAGCATATAACTGCATTCAGCGCATATGTGAAAAAGACCAGATATAAGGTCAACAAAGTTAACAAGGCAGGAAGACCATGTAGGGTACTGAACAGCTATATTGCTCGGACTCTCCGAAAATGTGGCTGGATACGTGTCGGATCCTCCAAAAGTAGTGCATTTTTGAAGGATCCGACACGGGTGCGGTTACATTTTGGAGAGTCCGCGCAACATCGCTGAACAGCAAGTTGCTTGATCAAACCTCTTTCAGATAGGCCAACATATTTGGTGTTGGTTCATGGAAGTCTGGACCCCTGTAATCAATCACTTCATCTGGATCCTGAATGTAATTAATGGTTGGATAAACTGGATCTCCACCCCAAACTGCACAAAAAGAGAAGAAGAAAAAAGCAAGTTGTTGATTTCAAGTCAAAAGTGGAACAGAAAACCCAAACAAATCAGAAGAAAAGTTGCTTAATTTTTAAACTAACTTATAATTCCAATCAGAAATCAGAGGATAAAGAAGAGACGTATTCTTTTTGTACCTCAAGCATTTCAGGCTATGTTCAGATATTTTTGTTAAAAAATTATAATTTTCCAGCACTCTTAATGGTAATATCCTGAAACATTAAAGATAAAGAGCCCTATAACTACCCAGAAAAAAAATGACTTGCCAACTTCTAGCCACCTTCACTTCTAAAGCCAGCTGCATACATGAATACCCACAAGAAAAAGCAGAAAGGTAGCATAGTTCAGCCAGAGGGAAAGGAGATACTTTGTTTTATTTGATCCTCCCGCATTCTCATGGCCAGAGGATCACGAGGAATACGGATATCAGTTCCCATCATTATGCGGTATTCACGATCTGTTTGATGGCAGAACATTTCGATGAGTTGAATGTTCTCATCTTCACCAGTCTCTTCAAAATGCTTTTGAATGGCTTCTCGTGAAGTGTCTTTCTTCCAAGCTTGGACCCACTCTGAGTAGTATGCAATAGGGCCAATCTTTTCCATTTTCTCTTTTTCAGCCTGTAGCCTGCAAAACCCACTTATTAGATCTTACTTCCAAACAGAATGTGTATTCTGGTTTCATCCTGAACTGGAAAACTAGATTACAAAGTCATTTAGCAAATCAAACTCTGTGGAATAGAAGGACAGAACAGTATAAGAAGCAAGCTTCAGAGAATATGAAATCAAAACGGGTCTCCAAGGGCATGGCCTAGTGGTTAAGGAATGGGAGCAATGACCTGGAGACCCCAAGTTCAAATCATAACTACACACTTGGTGTAAGCCCATCCATTATAACCTTAGTGGACAAGATTACCTAGGCAAAATGTGCTCATATGCTGGATACATAGGCCAGTGCACTAGTCAAGGTGTGCGCAAGGCGGTCCAGACACCATGTATATGCAATAGTAATAATAAAATAAAATAAAAAGCGACTGAAGTCAAGACTTGACGTCCAAACTCCAAAGAGAACCCTAAGACCAGCTTTGGAGTGCTTGCAGAACCAATAGCTTTTGAAAACATTAGATGAAGGCAAAAAGTAAGAGAAATGACATGGAGTTGATCCCAAATCTCACCAACTTTTAACAATTTATTTATGTTAAAGCTATGTATAATGTGCAAAACCAATATGACAAAAGAGAAGGCACAATGAATCGTTGCTAGGCTCTTTATAATAACACTAATAAGCTCTCCTAAGAATAAATTCGAACACTTCCTAGTACAACAGTATACAAGCTAATGAATAAATTTAATACCAAATGAACAAGGTCAATGCTTTAACGTTTCAGTACAAGACTATAACTTTAGAACAGAGCATGTGATGCAACATTACTAGCATGTGATGCAACATTATTAAAGAAAGTCACTGATTCTACCTTTCCGCCTTATATAGATGTCTCCTTGCTCTATAGAGTGCAGTCTCTGTCAAAGTAGGATGGTCACCATAAAGCTTTACCTGTCCTGTCTCCGCCATAGCTTTAAGAAACACCTGTTCCGGGAAAAAGAATGAGAATCCCTAAAACTGACGATATCAAATTGAAAAGGTTGAAGAACCATGAGGTTAAAGTGGTTAGCAATGTATTCTTTTGTATTCACCTTAATAAGTATCTCTCGAAAGATATCATTTTATCCAGTTTAGATTTGTATTTAACTATTTTACAATGTATCCTCATCCAGCGACTAGCATGAGCAGCCTTGAAAGTCAACCTTGATTTGGCGCAATTAAATTACACTGATTACATACTTTAAAACAATTTAAACTTCTTAATAGTACTTATTTAAGGTACCGACCGTTTCAACATCAGGACGCCGCCTCTGCCACCTAGACCATTGCTCTTTTTCAGGCTTTCTCCAATTCCACCATAGTTCTTCACTAGTAAGTGGCTTCTCTATTTCCTTCTTTGTCTTCGGATCAATAAAAGGGTGGGGCTTTCCAAGTCTTTTATCCAGCTCATAGCCTGTCAGCTCCTCTTCTTCTTGTTCAGGCTGATAAATGACATACTCCGAAGAAAGATCCTTTGGCTCTTCTGGTAAATTATCTGGACTCTCCGTAGGATCATCAGAAATTATATTTACGTCCGAAGTCTTGGAAGCAGCAGCAGATGCCTTGTACTTCTTTCTTCTACTTCCAGGGTTTTTTCCATAAGATGGGGTTCCAGTTGAAGTACCAGTGGGTTCAGGAGCCCTGGCTGCTCGAACTCGACTGGCTGTGCCTTCTGGCCAGTACTCCTGCCCAGGAATACTAGCGCGAGCTCCAGATGCTGGTTCAAGCTGCCCAGAAGTGGAGTCCATATAACTGTGATAAGGGTAACGCTCAACAGAAACCTGCTCAAAGGAACCCTGAGAGCCCTGATCCTTTTCTTTATTCTCACACTTAATACAAGGAGCTAAATGAGCCTTTTGGAATGGACTGCTGGAGACAAGCTTGAACTGCCATACTGAAACAGGGATAGTACCTGTAAAAAATGTCTGGTGGGTCCCAGCACAATACATACACACTCCTATTAACGAATTGAATTCCTAGAGACAAACAATTTTTCAAAAGTTCTGCTTCTACCCTATCATCTAACAATATGAGATAGTAATAGATACAGAGTACAAAACCTTCAAGAGAAAAAAACAGAAATTTATGAAAATTTTCACTGATGATTAACAAACTTAATAAAGATGTGTAACACCTAAAGATAAACGCCAAAACAAAAAGGAAATCTAAAAATACCTTCCGATATGGGCAGCAAAAGCTAGGAACAAATCCATCAGTAGAGACCATAGTTCTCAGTCCTCTATCTGCAAATACAAAAATTGCAATTTTATACCAGCAGGAAAAAAGAATAATTAAAGCTGCAAAAGTAAAATTGTACTTTGATACAAGGAAGTAGACAATACAGAAGCCATTGTTGATGACCTCCGCACTATACAGAAGGAGTCGCAAATGCTAAAAGTAACTCCTTATCCTTTGTCCTTTGCTTGGGTTTAGGAAGGGCTTAGGATAATGCGACTCCACTTTGTCGGGTTGTCTTTGAACCGTAACACAAATTCGGACCGGGTATCAGACCGGCTCAGTCACCAATTTCCTCTTCAAACTAGTCCGTACCCTCTAGAATACTTTTTCAATTCAATTTAAGCATACTTTTTTTTTTTTTGTTGGGTAATTAGAGAATTTAAGCATAGTTATTTAGTTCACTTACTGCCCTTCCTTATATGTGTATCTTAGAATGTGTTCAAGGGTATTTATGTATTCAAAGCTCACGTCCCATGCTTATATTATTGGGGTATTATCACTTTAGTCCGTGCCAGAAACTATTTATATTCGATAGCCGAAAAATTATATAAATTTTATATAATTTTGTATATAACATTCAAAATGTATATTTATATACAAAAAATATACATTTTTTGGCTATTATTCTGGCTATACAGTATCATTTTCAGTATATTTATTTTATTCTAATAATAAAGACATGGTAAACTTAATCATAAGTAATTTATATATACATTCTTACCTCAAGTTTATCACTACATAGGCTAGGTAAAATAATACGTAAAACATCAAGCGTGGACAACTTTGGTGTGAATAAATATAAATTATGCCGAGGACAACTTCAAGTACTAGGCTAATGAAATAGTACAAGTATTATATTTTAGCTTTTTTTACAAGATATTTTAACTTGAACTGATTAGCAGTAATTAAACAAACTAGGGTACGCGCAAGAAGGAAAATGTTGCAAGTTTCATCTGAGTAAACATTATTTATTGCTTTGGCATTCCTCGTTACATAATAACGAATAATGGAAAGCCATTCGATTATGGGCTGATGAATAAGATTTGTGATCTCTTTGGCTTCAAGCAATGTTACTCTTCGATGTATAATGTTGCCGCCAATGGTCTAGCTGAGGCATTCAACAAGACTCTACGCAACTTGTTAAAGAAAGTCGTCTCCAAATCCAACCGAGATTGGAATAACCGTATGGAAGAAGCTCTATGGGCATATAGGATGACTCACCGCACGCCAACACAGGCGACTCCTTATTCACTCGTTTATGGAGTCGAAGTCGTCTTTCCACTTGAGCGTCAAATACCTTCGTTACGACTGGCTATTTAAGAAGGGATCACTGATGAAGAAAATGCTCGACTTCGGTTAGCTGAGTTGGAGGCTCTTAATGAGAAGAGGTTGGACGCTCAATAGAGTCTTGAATGTTATCAAGCTCGATTATCTCACGCCTTCAATAAAAGAGTTTGCCCTAGATCCTTTCAAGTAGGAGATCAAGTCCTTGTCGTACGAAGACCCATAATTACTTCCCATAAACCTGTAGGGAAGTTCACTTCAAAATGGGATAGTCCATACGTCGTACAAGAAGCTTACTCAAGTGGGGCTTACAAGTTGGTTGATGTAGATGGCATGAGAATCGGCCCTATCAATGGCAAGTTTTTAAAGAAGTATTATCCTTGAAGTTGCAACGCTCCTTGACGCACGAGCCTAAACTGCATATTGCTACACTCCTCGCCCGCATGAGTTTAAACTGTGTACGGTCCCAAAAAAAAGAGTCCGCTAGGTTGAAAACTTCGAAAGAGGCGGCCTAGGCAAAAGTTAGGACATAAAAAAAATAAAATAAATTAAATTACCCAGTCTGAACTACGATATGACTTGATTCTCTTCACCGAGGTACGTAGGCAGTTTAGAGTTTCATTCTAAGTTCAGTCGCATAAATTCAAAAGATACATATTACCCCAATTGTTTTCCGAGTGAAGTATGGAGGAATGTAAAATCAAGCTGAAACACCATCCTTCTGTTGAACTTTTATCTCATTTGATTTAAAAGAGGAAAGCTTCCATGATAAATTGGTGTCTTCAATGGAATGATTATAGTCTTTTAGGAGGATACCAAGTATGTGCAATGAAGCCTGGTGATTCGTTATGCCTTCAAGTTCACCAAGCCTTCAAATTTTTGGTCTTCAAGTTGAAGTCTGCAAATCCGCCAGCTTTAAGTTGAAGTATTCAAGCCCTCCAAGTTCACCGTCCTTCAAGTTGAAGTCCTTAAGTTCACCAGAATTCAAGTTGAGTTGTTTAAGCCCTCGAAGTCTCCAAGTTGAAATCCTCAAGTCCGTCGGTCTTCAAGTTGAAGTCTCCGTGTTCGCCACCCTTCAAGTTGAGGTATCTAAACCCTCTAGGTCTCCAAGTTGAAGTGTTCAAGTTGAGGTCCTCAAAAAGCGTCGGTGCTTAAGTGGAATTATTTGAGCCCTCAAATTTTTCAGATTAAGTCCGCCGAATCTTCAAGTTTGTCGGGCTTCAAATTGAGGTCTGCAAAGTCCGCCGAATCTTCAAAGTTTTCCAAGTATTCAAGTCGACGTCATCAAGTCCATGAAGTCTTCGAGTTGAAGCTTTATAATTTTCCTATCTTAAGGTGGACATATAAGTCCCTTTGCACCTTAAGTTGGCCTATTTGTGGGTTTGTCCTTAAAACGAACTATAACTTTCCAATCTTAAGGTGAACATATAAGTCCATTTACACCTTAAGTTGGCCTCTTAGTGGGTTTGTCCTTAAAAGGAACTATAACTTTTCAATCTTAAGGGGGACATATAAGTCCCTTTGTACCTTAAGTTGGCCTCTTAGTGGGTTTGTCCTTGAAAGGAACTATAATTTTCCAATCTTAAGGTGGACGTTTAAATCCCTTTGCACCTTAAGTCGGCCTCTTCATGGATTTGATACTTCTATATATTGGTATGGATTTATCCGTCTATATGTTGATATGGATTTGTCCGTCTGTATGGTGATGGGAATTCGTCCATCTATATGTTGATGTGAATTTATCCGTCTATATGGTGATGGGGATTTGTCCGTCTATATGTTGATGTGGATTTGTCCGTTTATATGTTGATGTGGATTTGTCCGTCTATATATTGATATGGATTTGTCCGTCTATATGGTGATGGAGATTTGTCCGTCTATATGTTGGTGTGGATTTATCTGCCTATATGTTGATGTGAATTTGCCCGTCTATATGTTGCAAGGGATTTGACCTTCTATATGTTGTTGCAGATCTAATCATCTATATATCATGATGAATTATCCTTATATGGGAAGTCATGGAGTTGCCCGTCAACTTAGCACTCAACGACTTTTCTTTTCTTGACCTACAAAAAAAAAGCAAAAAAAAAGAAAAAGAAAAAAGAAAGATGTAGGAAAACGAAAAAAAAAAGAAGAAAAAATACCTTCGTTGGTACTCTTTGCTCTGTGATCGTCAAAGGGCACACCAAATTTGTTTGTGCTTACAAGTTGAATAGCATGTCTCTATTTATAGAGATGCCAAAGAGTATACAAAAGAGGTGTTCCTCGATGTGGGTATGTACAATTATTTCCTAAATTGAGTCAAAGTACATTGCCATTCCCGGTAAAATTGGACTAGCAAAGGCGGTCGTTTGTCAAATTTCGTATCCAACTACAATTGGGAACGCTGTCATGTTTCGCGGGACTTTTATTTGGTCTTTTTGTCCAAAGTCCCAATGGACTTAGGTGTACCCACTATCGGCATATGAGATATGCAATAAATTGCTTTTTATCTTCACAATTTTATGCTGTGCATATTTTAGGGCGAACGACACAAATAGCCGCTAAAAGCAGTGGCTTTTATTTTAAAGCCGCTGTTTTCAATATATTTAGATTTTAGCCACTCCTTTAAAAAACTTATATCTGATTGGACGAAAATATCCTTCTGGTATAACTTATACCTACGCTATCAACACAAGCAGCAGTTACACAAAGAGAAGAAGCCAACAGCAGCAATTACCACAGCGGCGATCAACTGAGGACGAACCACCATTTCTCTTCCCGATTTCAAAAATTCAGCATTCTAATCCAAAAAAACGACATAGATAAACAGTAAGTTGTAATTTCATGTGTTTCTATCGATTTTTATTTCGCTATAGTTATACTTTTTTAGATCTGTATTGATTTGATTATATATTAGATAAGAATTTAATTTTTTTTGAATTTCTGGATTGATAAATTTATAGACATTGCCTCCTATGATAATTCTGTATTCCGAACATAGTGTCTTCATTTTGGAAACTGAATTCAAAAAAATAAGAACATTATGTCCTTAACTTTGATTCTACTGGCCTCATTTTGCAAATTGAATAAAAAAACTTAAGGACAAAATGTCCTTCACTTTGTTGCTGTTCTTCTGTATACAAAGTCCTGTAGCTTGAGTTTCAAATTGTATGTTTTAATTTCTGGTTCAAATGTTAAGGACTAAACGTCCTTAACTTTTAAATACATGTTTAAATATTAAGGACTATCAGTCTTTAACTTTTAATTCCATGTTTAAATGTTAAAGGACAAGCAGTCCTTAACTTTTAATTTCTGGTTCAAAAGTTAAGGACTGACAGTCCTTAACTTTTAATTTCATGTTTAAATGTTAAGGACTGACAGTCCTTAACTTTTAATTCCATGTTTAAATGTTAAGGACTGACAGTCCTTAACTTTAATTACATGTTTAAATGTTAAAGGACAGTCAGTCCTTAGCTTTTAATTTCTGGTTCAAAAGTTAAGGACTGGCAGTCCTTAACTTTTAATTCCATGTTTAAAACTTAAAGACTGGCAGTCCTTAACTTTAATTATATGTTTAAATGTTAAAGGACAGGCAGTCCTTAGCTTTTAATTTCTGGTTCAAAAGTTAAGGACATGCAGTCCTTAAGTTTTAATTTCTGGTTCAAAAGTTAAGGACAAACAGTCCTTAAGTTTTAATTTCTTGTTCAAAAGTTAAGGACTGGAAGTCCTTAACTTTTAATTCCATGTTTAAATGTTAAGGACATGCAATCCTTATCTTGGTCTTGCACTTACAGTACACTTGTTCTTAATTCTACAAGGATTGATTTATAACGTATGTCCTTTGTTTCCCATTCTCTTGACTTGTAGGATGGAAACAATATGCATAATAGTTTCTTTTAATGGTAGATGGACTGAAGACTATAAATATCTTGATCATCAAACAAAGCTTTTCCTAGCACCT